CAGAGTCTACCATTCAAGCAGCCTTGGATGACTGCAAGTTTTCAAGCTTTAAGAAAAAATCACCAATTATTGTCATTGCACTTGTAAGGAAATACAGAAGAATCTCCTAGAAACTGTTAACCTCCAGGATTGCTCAGCAATTTCATCATTTTAAGAAAGTGACTGTAATGCATTTCTCTACATCTACAGGGATGAGTTAATCAAGCAGACAGTAGCTCTCAGCAGAGTAACATAAACACTTTTTTACTTCAGTGCAAAAGTCCAGTTTTGATTCATGGAGTCACATCAAGCCATTGCAAAAGAGAAACCTGCCTCTTGCTGTTGCTCATATTTGGAGCTTATCCAGTTCTTCACAGCCTGATATGCAGAGTGGTTTTATCTCCCTCCTGTCCATCCTCCCTAGAGTTAGGTTCTGCTATGAAAGACAGGGGTGTAATTTTACTTGGGGCTTTCTTAGGAAAGGAAAGAAATGCCCATCACCACTGAGGAGTTAGAGAACATGAGGCCCTCCTACACCCTTGCAAATGCAGCTCTGAAGGGTGTCTGCCAGGCAGGACCATTGCTCAGAGACAAGCCAAACTTGTTTGGAAGTCCAGTGCTATGACCACTAGGTGCAACCTGCAGGGTGCAACCCATAACCAATCCATTTTCATCACTGAGCTAAAATTAGCTGATATTGTCAGAAGTGGCAAGACCTACAAATAAATAAAATATATATTTCCAGCAGTTTCAATTTCCCACCTCATAGCCTTGGGAATAGGTTCCATTGGTTCATACACCAACCTTGTGGATCTGACAGGATCCCCAGAGCAATGCAAAGGAGCCCTGAGCATCCCAGAAGTGGAAAGCCATTCATCCAACCCACAGCACCCCTTGAAGTAAGGAAATTTCTCATCAAACCCAAATGGTGCAACCCACCACCCCAGCTGCTGGGACCAGATAGATGTGACCAGGGAAACTTCCTGACACTGTCCTCACAGCAAAAACCAGGAGCGTGGAGAAGGGAATGGAGCTTGGCAAGAACAGCTCTGTGTCAGAGCTAACAGCATCTGCCAAATCTGTGCCACGGCAGCATGGCATCTGAAGGGAAAATGCTGGATTGGTTCCTCACCAGGTGGAAGATGGAGCATTGCAACGACAATGCAGAGAATGTTGTACAAAATTAAACTATGCCAGGCTCCAGGTGAAGTGATCTCTCCCCACTATCAAAGCTATGGAGACTGGCCTGAAACAAATAAAGCTTGGTTTAAAACCAGAAGGATGCAAATGCAGGACCCAGGCATGCTTCCTCTCAAATCCTCTGCACTGCATAATGACCCAAACAAAATGAGCCTTTCGGCTGCTCTTGCAACATCCCCACTCCTAAGCTGGCAGAGATGGGCACAGAGAATTGGGCCCTCTGTATGGAAGCACCTTGTAATGTTCAGATGAAAGGACGCCAGGGAAATCCAAACTCCTTTTATCCCTTCCTCACCAGCCTTTGAGACTGGTTAGAGAGCAGCTGCTTAGCCAGGCTTGTTATGACCTTCAAGCTTTCCCATAGCACTCATATTAAACTTTTTTTTTTTTTTAAGGTTTTAAAAGCCCATCTGTGCTCCTGACCCTTTAAGCCAAGTTCCAAGCCCATATGGAAATTTTAAATCCCTGTAAAGAATGGGTAGACAGAGCTGCTGGTGGTACACCCTTCTCTTAAAACAGCATGACCACATCTCAGACCAAGCATGTCCATATGGAGAGCTTCCTCCAGAGCCAGTTTTAGCTGCAAGAAAATCGAGAGAGGCTGTAATGATTCCCAGATAGTTTGATAACCAGGGGTTTCACCCCTAAAGGACCCTACCCTGTTGTATCTGATGTTTCCTGTTTCTGTTCTCATCATTCAAACCCTCTGAACAGCTAGAGAGCAAGGCTGTGGGCCCCAGTGCCTCATGCATTTAGTGGATGCTTACATCCATAACCCACTTTGCACATTTTATAGTTCATTTTTTTCACATGGACTTCCTTCTCTCCAAAACAAGTAAATAAATTAATAACTAACTAACTAAACAACTGGACTGAAACCAAAGTCTGGCACTCCTGTGCCAGCTGTGGAATGATGCTTGTTTGGCTAGAAGTGTCAATGAAACACTCTCAGCATCAGGATGAGTTTGGAGCAGAAGAGGGCTTGCTTCCAAATTCAACCACATCACTGCACATGCGGGTTTCAAGAGCGTACAAAGTGCAAGTCATTTTCAAAAGTAACTCATCTGCTTCCCCTGTAAAAAGCATGGCCCTGGACTCCTTCAGAGATAAAGCAGAAGCCAGAGGGACCTTTCTGTGCACAGCCAACAAGATGTAAAAGGCTATATCTACAGCCCTTTATTTAATTTACAAACCTCTGCCTGAAGAGGCAGGAGGCAAATCAGAGCCTCCAAAGGCAGAAGGAAGATTAAGCCTGAGGCTTTCAGAAGTGGGAAGAGAGCATCTCTTCAGATTTGGAGATCAGAGGCTTTCTAGATAGGCAACAAGGCAAGCAGCAACTCCCCAAACTCAAAACACTGAGAAAAAAACACCTGAGGTTTGCTTCCTAACCAGGGAGAAAGTAGGTTGGTTTGTTTAATGAAAAGATTTGGGAAATCCCTTCCAGCTCAACGGCCACTGTAGCAGAGTGATCTCTTTGAGAGATCCCTACATCATCTCCTTTTTATACTGGATGGGGCAGCTCATTGCCAAAATGAGCACTTTCCCCACAAAACCAGGCTCAAAGAAGCCCTTAGCTCAAGCATTGCAAGCAGCGTATCTCCAAAGTACTGGGGGATGCGAGTCTGTACAGGTCGAAAGAAGCTTTAGAGCTTTAGGGGAAGAGAACTTAATCTCTAATCCAGCAGGTTTCTGGAAAAGCAAACTTCACCACACGCTGCTGTTCCATGCACACACCTCTGCGCAGAACTATGTGCCTGGTGAGGCTGGATCCATCCCGGGCACAAGCTGGCAGCGTCCTGGGATAACACCAAGCATGCCGAGCCCACACATGTGAAGACATACAAGGCACACTCATTCCTCGAATATCTGATAATTCCTGAGATCCTTCTAACTGTTTATTGCCTCCGGCAGCCTTTGTTTCGGATGTGAGAAGATAAACAATGGGAATTGTCTTAATCCTAAAGGCAAAGAATAAAAAGCACTGGGGCGGGGCGGGAAGGGGGGGACGACGACGATTCTTTTGTCATTATACATTTGCAACATCAAAAAAAGCTAACCCCCTTCCTTTGAAACGCACTGAAATGTATCTGCTTTTCCTCCCCTGTTGGCAGGAATGAGCCCTCCGCTCTTTGCTGCCGAGCCCCCCGCGCCCACCCTTGCTCTGCCAGCACGGACGGCTGCACACAGCCCTCCCTGACTAGTGCGGCGAATCACCACTCCGCCTCGCTCCCAAATCCTATTCCAGCTGCGTGCGGCGCCGGGGACCGAGGGGAGTCCCACCTCTGCACATCCGTGCGGGGCAGCTTGCTGACCTCACTCATGAAATCCCCACTTTCCGCCATGCCCGTCCCAGGGCAGCCGAAGCTGCTCCTCTCCAGAGATCTACCATCATCTCACAGAGCTACCTCAGCAGGACTTTCTTCCTGCAGGAAAAACACTCCCACAGTTCCCAATATACCTTCACCAGAAGCATGACAGCTTTAAAGACCACCTTGATAGCTGCTATGATCCACCCACTAGTTGCTAGAGACGTGTGGCATGCAAGTCGCTCCATCTGGCAAAGAAGGAGGGGAGAAGGACTAAGTACTAACGCATACCAGGCAGCCACCTTTTCCCACAGGCAGGACACTCGGAGAGTGCCGCTAACCTGGCACTTTCCCCAGGCATTGGGGAGCATCCTCCAAAAACCACCCACATCCCACAGCCTCCAGCGAGTCAAAGTGCAAAGGCAGGAGCGGTATCTGGATGCAGAGAGGACTCCTTGCTCAGGGGATGTGTGCCCACCTGAGCACCTGTGTTAGGATACACGACACTCAGGATCTTTCATGCTGACAACCCCGGGAACTCCTCATCCTGTGTGGTGTACTTGCCCCTGCCGAGCGAAGTCTATGAAGGGGAGATGGAGGCAGCCCACGCTCCTAGCCGGAGAGTGGGTCTGCTGGGTGCGTGCACGGGAACTAATTAGTTCCCGTGAGGCTGCAACACGGGCAGCAGGGAAAGCACCATCTCCCACCAAAGCAGATTTATTAGGAAGAAACGACGCCTTCGTTCAAAGTTAGGTAGGACAGTGCTGTCATGCTCCATCCCCTCTGACCCGGTAAGGGGGAAGGGGGGGTGTCCTCTTCAGAAAGTAGTCCCACCGCCTTGGCAAATACGTAGGAATTTTCCAGAACGATTTCCGCCCCTGTTTACCTTACACATTATTTCAGTGTTTGTTCAGCGGGTTCCCGATGTCATCGGGCTCCTCTGCGGCGTGCAACAGCCCCCCGACACCCGTCCTCCTACCGGGAATTGAGGGCCGAGGCGTGGGCAGCCCTGCTCACTGCAGATCCCCGCGTCCAGCACGTCTGGCCGCCCGTGCTCTGCCAAATTCTCCCCTAGTCCGCTGGCCCTCGCGTGGCATCTCGCCAACACCCAGGCCCCACTCCGACACGATGCCCCGACCTCCACCCGTGATCCCGGTGTGATCCGGATTCATAACTTAAGGACAAAAAGTGGGACAGGGGCTGGATAACAAGCCCCATTGACATCAGCCACGATAACACACCGCCACTGAGCGGCTGGGGGGAATCGGCATCCCCTGCCGCCCACCTGCCTGCGGATGAGGGCTGCAACCCCACCGTCACGGCGGCAAGGGTCAGCGGGGACAGGGGACCGACGCGATGGCGACGGGCGCCCTATGCCCCGCCGGGGACCGACTAGCATCGCGCAGGGGGTCGCGCCCGGTACTGCCCAATCCCGCGGCACCTGCTCTGCGTCCCCGGCGCTACCAACAAGTTGCGGCGTGTCCGTATTCCCCCTCTCGTCCCGCGGCTACTCACAGCCAGTTGCTGGCGTTGGCCGAGAAGGTGGCGAGAATGATGAGCAGCAAGGAGCGCAGAAAATACTCCGGGCTCATCCTGGAGGGCGGGCGGGGTGGGACTGCGCGGAGCCGGCGGCGGCAGCGCCCCCGCCGCCCCGCGCCCAGGGCAGCCGCCGCCGCAGGTGGGCGCGGGCAGGAGCGGCGGGCGCTGCCCGGCTGATGCTCCCGCGGCGGCCGCTCAGCCCGACTGTCAGCGCGGCCGGCCCGTCCCGGGATGGAGCGGCGGGGCCGGAGGCGGGCCGGGGGCGGAGGCAGCCCCGGAGGCCGCCCCGACTCCGCCGCTCCCTGGGCGGGACTCACTGCGAGGACACCCCCGGGGCGGGCCAGCGGCGGGGAGGGCATCGGGGGCTCCGACGGCAGGGAGGGCGTTGGGAGTTTCTCCAGCGACGTGGAGGGCAGAGGGGAATCCGCCAGCGTCCCCCACGTTGCTGCTGCAGCTCTGGGTGGGTTCTCTGGGCGCGGGGAGAGACGGGGGACCTTCACAGAGGGTAAGGGCGGGGATTTCCGCATTTGATGTTTTGGGGTAATTTATTGGTGGCTGTGAAGAAGCTGAGCCCTGAGATGTCCTGGTGCTGCCTGGAATGCATCGCCCAGGCTGCCTTCTTCAATAAGCACCCCATTGACTTGGAGTGATTTCCGAGATTCCAATTTCTGAGGATTCGCTGTAAATACCAAAGTGCATTTGGAAATTTGCAACTAAGGAGATGGTTCTGGGTGGGTTCTATCTGGGGTATCTATCTGGGGGTTCTATCAGGAAAACAACATTTGGAGATGGAACAGGGATGAGTTTGCAAACCCTCTTGGCATCTCAGTAAGGGCTGCCCCATGGAGAGCTGCCAGACACAGCAGAGGGTGGTAGGCTCTAGAATGCACAGATGGAGGGTGATGCTTGAACAAATATCAAGGCTTAAATTCACCTCTTGAAAAGTCAACTCTTGGGAAATCCAAATAGTTCCTCACACTGGCTTAACCACCCTGAGGCCAGGAGATGTGGTGGTGATCCCTATCTCTGCTCCATCCACCATGCCTCTATCTATCCATTTGGGCACAAATGGCTTAATTTAAAGCCAGGAGCAACATGAGCTGGCTGCTTGGTCTGAAATCCAAGATCCCAGGCAGCCACAACTGTGCACCAAATCTCCTCTTGACAATGTTGTTACTTAGGTCCATTACTGAAACCTCTTGCTACCATCTCTAAAATCTTGCCAAGCTGGTTTGGAGCTATTCAAGATTCCCTTTGTCTTTTCAACCCTGTTTTCCTGTAGCTGGAGCACATTTATTCAAAGCACGGCAGATTGCACTAGGCTGCACATATGCCTGTCTAACTTTATTACACCTACTTTAAAATCTCTTCATTAGTTCCCTGTCAAAGTGAGAATTTAATTTCAAAGTGCTATGACTTATAGTCCAGCTCCTGACAGGCAGAAGCGCGCCCTCACCTAGTCATTCATCTGGCTTTCACATCCTTGCTGATTATCCTGGGTGAAAGCAGGATGCTGGCTGCTTTGCTGGTGAATTGGAGGTTGTTGCTGTGAGCCCTGTCTGGGTAATTCAGTGCAATTGGAGCTGATTAATCTGGCTCATCATTTGAGACAAAGCTGATGCCTTCTGGCTTCTAATTGCTCAGAGTGTTGAGTGAACTTGTCACGAAGGCAAGAACTAATTGAGAGGCTAAGGGGAATGAGAGGTTAGAGGGCTGTAGCTGGCTGGCTGGAGCCACGTGGGTCCACGATTGGAATGTCATACTTTTGGGCCTCTCATGCATTATTCTCCTCCAAGGAGAAACATCAGACAGAAGCCAGAAGGGTGGGCATGGACCCATGGTTTTGCATCTGCTTCATGGACATCTGCAGCCCACGGAGCACTCTTGGCAGAAATGCTCCTGATGCCAGGGCGGGTGGTGCTGCGGGCAGGCTCAGGGCACCCTGACACTCTTTTTGGGGTAGCTGTGGTGGCAGGATGGGGCAGTGGGTACTTGACATTGATCTGGAAGACCTCTTGAGACTTCTCTTGGCCTGGATGATGATCATACCCACCTAGTTCTGCAGCACCTTCAAGTCCTGTTTCCATTGTAGCAGGTGGAACAGAGAGGACTGTCCTGGCTTAACCAGCAGGAGAACATGAAAGCCAGACCATTGTCACAGTGTGTGATCACAGTGTGTGATCACATCGACAGGCTGCATTGGGGATAAAGTGTCCAGGACTGATGAGTGGTACCCCCATGCCAGAAGGCAGGCAGATGCAAAAACCTCTGGAGTAAGTCACCCTGATAGGAAGTGCAGTGTGAGCTGCCCTGTGGAGATGATAATAGTGCACCAGGGCAGGAGGGGTGTTTATTTTACAGTCTCTGGCGGGGGAGGGGGTGATGTGTGTGAACAGAGGAGAGAATATAGAAATGGGCACTCACTGCAAGGATGTGGGTTCCTTGGTCTTTTTAAAGATTCCCATGAAACACTGTTTGGTCATTACCTACAGCTTTCTGGAATCTAGGTTATTTTGGCCTCTGATTCAGAAGGTGCTAAGGTGCTTTAAAAACCTAAAGCCCAGCTGATTTGGAAGAGAGGAAGGCCCACATCCAGAGGAATGTTTAAGGGACACAGCAGGTCTCCTGGCCTGTGCATTGCTGCAGAGCCTCTTGGCCAACAGGGCCTCTCCTTTGTACTCCTCTCAGGACAGCAGCTAGTGATGAAGGCCCCTTGTCACTGCCAGTGTGGGTTGGAGCTCAGTGCCTGCTGACCACCCCAGGCTGCAATGCATCGCTCTTTGTTACTGGCTGTGTGTTGCTTTAATGAACATTAAACTCCCATTAGATAAGGAGACTCCCTTTGATGTCTAAATATTTCAGTGGATGGGAAGAGGAATGAAATGCACCACAGGAGTGTTTCATAGGCTTGCCCAGGTGTGTCTTTATTCAAAGAGAAATTACCATCACCATATCACAGTCAAGGAAAAGGGCAAGCAGTGGTAACAAGAAGGGGTTTTCAGCTCAGAGACCAATGTGAAAGCAACAAAGCATGCAAAAGTCCATGAAAAATTGTAGCCAGGCTCTGGAAATAAGTGATGTAAATACAAACTCTGTCGCTGTCGAGGCAGGACAGGAATGAGAAGACTGACTCAGAAGGCTGCTAAGAGTAAAACTCCGGTTTATTCAAATGCACCGCTCTTTTATACAGAGCTTTGTGAAGACCAACTCCCTTGGTCCTGAAGTGGAAACAGCCTACACCATTGGTGCAAAGTGCTTGACGAACAGTGATAGAAGTAACTGTAAACAATGTGAACAACAAGAGAGATAAATAATTATTTACATTCTTCTCCAACTCTTTCCCAGGCTTCTGCCTGGCTAGAAACTCTCCGTTTCTCTCTTTGACTGAATCTGAGACCCACAAAACTCCACTGAAGAGTATGTGCAGGCAGGTAGCACTCTTCCTCAGTTTCTGGATCTGACTGATGCTATCAGTCATGGAGGTTGTGAGAAGTATTTTACAGGTTCTTTTCAGGTTTCTGATGCCCCATGGGCTTACTAGGTGGGATTGAAAGTAGGGTGCTCTACAATCTAGAGGATAGTCTCTACCATGTAATAGGGAGAAGAGCTGCAAGAAAAAGGAAAGGGGAACTCATGGGTGAATCTGAGGCTGTGGGAGTTGGCTCTGAAAATAGAAATAAATTCTGTTTTGGATTTAAAGGAACATAACTATTGGACACTTTAGCAACAGTACATGTATTAATCCTGTCCTGGAGAAAAGAGAAGCTGTTCTGGGAGCCTCCATACCAGAAAAGCAGTTGTACTGCTTTACAGAAACCCTTGTTTTTTCTGATGAAATTTATTTCAAACTATCCAAACATTTCCGAGTGGCACTGATGACCGGTCAGAGTAGGGACTGTATAGGACAGCAGTTCACAAATGGAAGCAGCTTTGCAAATATGAAAGTTGCTGTGACAAAAGAGCTGTGTCCAGTCCATTACAATCAGGGAGCGAGCAGTTGCTGTAACCCATTGGCAGCTCAACACGTCACAATGGCCACTGGAACATCAAGACCAGCCTTTTTTTAGCTGCAGCAGGATGCCTTTAGCACCATACCTATTCCAGAGCCTGCTTGGGAATGTGCATTTACTTGTATGAGTCTTCAGAAGCAGGCGTTCAGTTAAAATAAGTCTTCAGTGGCATCGCCTGAAATCTGGCATTGAGGCTGGTAAGATCCAGTCCTCCAATTTTATTGTCAAATAGGGCACTGAAAAAAATACAGAGTGGCTTGGGATTTAGGGACTTTTCTTTTGGATGTTGTCTCTGAACACACCATCAAAATTTCTCTGGGAAAAATGAGTGGCTATGGTGAACTTGTGGGTGCTGTCTGTGTGGGAAATTAGGAGCATCCCCAGATATTGTGAATGCCTTCAAACCATACAATTGCAGAAAGAGCCAACTTTTCCACTGCTCAGATAGATCCTTTTTCACAGGTCTGTGAATGAATTGTCCCCTGGGTTGTACTATTTTCAGAGGAGATTGTTGTCACAGTTCCACATTCTGGCATTTAAAATATATCCCAACTGACTTCCCCACTCACTTGGGTGCCATCCACACCAAGCAGTGTGTAGCACTGCTGAAACAAACCTTGATCCAGGTGCTGGACAAGTGGCCATACCTGGCACTGCACATGTAGACAGTCGACACTGGAGTGACAGCTCATGTCTGCAACCTTTGCCCTGCTCATTCTGCCCAGGAAGAAAATGAGATTTCAGACTGATTGGATACATAACACCCTAATTCACTCCTTTCCAGTGCTCATTATACCTACAGGCATTTAAGAGCACTGAGACTTCATCCCGCACTGTGGGAGCTGTGAAAGTCATGCTCAGCTGAGCAGGATGGAAGGAGGATGGAGGCCACCAGGACTGCAAAGGGTATTCCAGGCTGGGGATGGTCAGGAGAGGACAGGGAGGGGTGAACACCTTGGACTGTTCATGACTTGTGGTGGAGTTGTCTTCAGTTTATCTTCACATTCAGCAGATGTGGCAGATGATGGAATCCCAGACTGGTTAGGGTTGGAAAGGACATTAAAGATCATCTCATTCCACCCTGTGCCATGGGAAGAGACACCTTCCACTAGACCAGGTAGCTCCAAGCCCCATCCAGTCTGGCTTTGAACACTTCTAGGGATGGGGCAGCCACAGCTTCTCTGGACAATCAGTTCCAGGCTTCACCACCATCTTAGTAAAGAATTTCTTCCTAATATCTAAACTAGTCTCTTCTCCTTTAGTTTAAAACTGTTTCCCCCTTGTCATGTCATTATCTGCTTGTGTTAAAAGGTTATTCTTCCTCTTTTTTTATAAGCCCCTGTACGTACCGGAAGGCTGCAATGACGTTTCCCCAGAGCAATGAGACCTACAATGATCCCAGGTGGTGTTACCATTGCCAAGGTGCTCAGCCTAAGTGATGTCTACATCTCTCTTCCTGTGTGTGACCAAGGAGGTCATGGGGTGTGTCTTGCTCCACCTCTCTCATTGCACCTCTCAACTTGTTGGTGCTCTTGCTGGTATGGTTTTGGCCCAGCCAACATGTAACTTGCAGACAGTGGCTAGGCAAAGAGCAAGGGATATCTTGTCCCAAGACATAGGAGAGGTAAGGCCAGTTTGTTTTAGGCTTTGCTATATGTTCCCTGACAACTCCATACCATTTCACCCTCAGTGCCATGATTCCCTTGCTTGCTTTGTTTTGTAATGCAGACATGACCTTTTGGGGATACAAACCAGAGGTGTGAAGGAGCAGAAGAAAATCAATGAAAAGACAGGTGCTGATTTGGATTATTTGGTCTACTGGTAGTGAATAAAACACTGATGGAGAAAATCTTCTAAATCTCTGGAAGCAAGAAAAGCTATGCCTGGAAAGAAATTCCAAGCTTTGTCCCATGACAAGGGCCAGAAGAGACAATTGAGCTTGTCTGGGCCAGTGGAGAAATCCAGGACCAAATTTTTCTGCTGCTTCTCATCCAGGGTTTCTGCTTCTCCATATGTGAATTCCTCCTCTCTCATTTGGCAAAGAGGATGAAGAGTGAAATATCAATATGTGAAATATCAATAAAGACAGACTTTTTCCTGTCTTTGGCTATCAGATAAATGACAAGACACTGGCCTTACAGCAAAGAATGGCTATGTTTGGAGGACATTAGCTGCATTTCCCTGCCCTGACTGGTGAATTCTTTAAATGCGGACAGCATTCTCCCTCCACACCCATCTTCAAGAGGTCCCAGTGTTTCTGTTGAACCATCTCTTCCATTGGCTCAGTTTGCATCCACCAAGTGGAGGAAACAGGAGGCTGAGAGATGAGAAGCATCTTTGGGAGGTCTGTTCCTTTTGTGAAGATGCATATGGAGCAAAGTGTTGGCTGTGCACCGTTTTCATGCTGGTGTCAGATAGGTAATGCAGTTGTGTGGATAGGGAATTCTCTCCTGACTGGGAGAAAGAAGCATAGCTGGGCTTTGGGAGATACCCAAGGGATAGGTTGCTGCAGTCATACCAAGTTTGAGCCTGCTTCTTTGCCAAAATGGAGTTGATAATTTAACCTGATTCCTGAACCAAGTCCTTGTTTCTCCTGAAACACATCAAGAATGAAGCTCCTGCAGAAGCGTTGGGCTGTCTGGGGCTCATCTATTTAATTTTCTCTTGCAGTGGGAAATCTCTTATTTTAAGTAAAGTTCTTTTCAGAAATGACTAATTAAACTACAGAACAGGAAGTGTAAGAGACAGTAAAATCCCCTTAGCTGTCCAGTGCATTTCTACGTAAATATGGTGGCAAAATTATGAAAACTAAACCTTTTGGAGACAAAGGCGAATGAGAGACCTGGTGAGGCAGTGTTGAAAAATCTATTGTTTGTTATAATAAAGTGAAACCACTGTGTTTATCTTGTGTCTTGGAGGATTTGGCACAATTATTCTTGGGAAGGGAGGGAAGCCACATAGAAATCAGAATAGCCCAGAGTTTTTGCTAAAATATTTGTACAAATCAGGCTATTCAACTACAGAAAAGGACTTCTTTGGGGCTGTTGCTTCTGAAATTATCCTGCAAAACTGGAAGGACTGTAAATGTTTGGCTTTAATAGCTACATACAATGCAAACCTAATCAGTGAAGCTTGAAATGTCCATGGCAGGGAAAAAAGGCAGAGTTTTATGGCTTTATGGAGGTGTGCAGAAGACCAGACAGAAAAGCTGCCTAACACCCATGTAGGAGGGCAGCCGCTGCTCTCCCATCTGACAAAAGTCACTCTGTGATCAGAGACAACTGGACAAACTTTCCACGCCAACATGATCTGCTTGTTTGCCTGAGTTGGTTGTGAAGGCTGGGAGGAGGTGTAGCACAGACTTCCCTTGCAACCAGCCTCCCCCAGGGTGTTCAGGCAGCCTCACTACCCCAGCTCCCACCCAGGTTGTGTGGCTGTGGGACAAGGACCTGGCAGAAACCATCCCAGCAATTGAGGAGGAATTATGGTTGTGCTGTCTAACTTTCAGTTTTTGCCTCCAGCAGAGGCTAAAAATGTTCCACATTGCTTAGAGGTGTCAGGTTCTGTAGCTGTAGGCTGGGAACAGCCCTCAGAACCTCTCAGTTACACATTACCCTGAATATCTCAGCAAATTACTCATAGCTAATTGAAATAAAGGAAACAAAGAGGCTCGGTTTACCTGGTGGACTGTATATAGCAATGCAACCACTGCATTTTGCATTGGTCATAAAAACATGATTTATTATCCCACCTGTCAAACACTGACTTTTTTTTTTTTTTTTTTTCCCTCAGTCTGTGCTTCCTTCTCATGTCAATTTAGCAGTGTTCATCCCAACTAATGTCAATAGTTTCTTATTAACATTTCAGGTCTAGAAGTGCAGAGCCTCTAAATAATCTTAGACATTCTCTAGAATCCCAAAACCTCAGGTCAGTGATTTTCAACCTTCTTCGGTTTGCTGAGTCTTAAAAATCTTCCTGTGGCAATGCGGACCCTTCTAAAGCAACTTAACTGTAGTGATAACAGACTCCAGGTTGATGAGTTACTTTCTGTGGACTACACATAAGTAGGAATTTGCAGATCAGAAGTTCAAAAGTGCAGATGCAAGAGATACATGGAAGACAGGTGATCAGTCAGACGTGTGTCATTTTGCATTGAATTTAGAGGGGTTCTTAAGTTTCTAAGGCAGGTGTGCACCAGCAAAACTCTTAACAGAAATCACCAGGTATGAGACTGTTAAAGCAAATTATGGTTGTGGGTAGTTGTATATGTTTGACTTATGATGATGCATATATCTCTCAATAAATCTCTCTCTGTATCTTAGTGTATGTATGTGTGTATGTATGTATGTATGTATGTATGATCTGTGATCTGTGAATCCATCTTGAACTTCAGAAAAATGTCACATGGGAAATCAGTCCTGCACTGGCAACGATGAATCCATCACCTGTCCCCTGCTATTGGGAATGCTTCTGTAGACAATGTGGTTGCTGCAGCATAGGGAGCTTGTCCAGCTGAGTTCTGCAGCATGGGGATTTCTTCAGAGCAAAATAAATATATAAGTCATAAATACCAGAGAACCAGGGAAACAAAATGCAGAGGAGCAGGTAATTTTGGGGGGAGGTGGGATCAGAAAGGCACATGTTCACAGTCTCAGGTTAGTGAGAAAGAATGAAACTACTGGAGGAAAGAGCAGGGAAACTTCACATGTTTGGGGGACAAGCCATGGGCAGGTGAAAGTGGAGAGGAGATTAAAAGTGACAGATTGTTTTATCCATGTACCCGTGTTTCTTGCATCAGTGACCAGATGATGGATGGTGATAGATGGTGGAGCAACGCCAAGTGTCATTGATGAGGGGAGCTGCACCTCCAGAGTAATTCCGTGGGGGCTTCTGGGAAAATGCCAGTGGAAGGGTGGCTGTTGAGGAGGAACTAGACACTCTTTAGGCCTGCTAGACCCAAGGTCCTCTCCCATCCAAAGGTAGCATTTGGAATTTGTGCCCTGGACGCAGGGAGCATTGTGGGCTTCCAAGATGGCAAAATGTCCAAGCCACATGGTAGACCACTGACTGCTGAAATGCAGAAGCCCTACCAGGATGGTATTGGCAAGTCAGAACACACTAGCAGAGATGCTCTGGAGTCACAGCTGATGAAGAAGAGATGCCAGGAGCACAAAGGCATGACACAGAAATCCAGCAGTGGAAATGGAGGATGTGAGCTTCCCATCACCCTTAGATGTCTGGGTAAGCAGTGCCTCAGAGGGACGTTATGGGCGTGATTTCCCTAACACAGGTATTTTCTGAGGCAGATGCTCAACATCAAGGGAAATGTACTATGTCCTGACCCTCCAGGCCGTAAAAAATTTAGTAACTGAAGCTGAGAGGTGGCCATGTTTCTTCTCCCTAGGTTTCTTCAGTGTCCTTTAACTTTGGACTCCAGTGGGTTCCTACCCCAAATGGGTCCCTATTCCTTCTCTTGGAGAGGGAGGAATAACAGAACACATAGGGGAAGGAAGGTCTTGGGAATACTGAATTCTCAGATGGGAATGGCGTGCTAAGATTTACAGCATACCACCGTTGTATCTGAAACGCCTGATAGCCTGGAGGATATTGTTGGCCTGCTGGATCCTTTAGAGATCCCCAGATGTGTCCTTTGCTGTGATTTGAGGATGCATCATCCTGCAAAAGACAGATCCCCAGCACACTGTAGGAAGCTCAAGCAGGGCAGCTCACCACAAAGAGTTTGACACATTTTCCATAAGTGTAATTACCTGGAAAATGGATGTGAACTGTAAGATAATCATCCAGGGTCCCTTCTTAACCCATGGTGAAATGCTGGCCCCTTCATCTGTCCCCCATAAATTATTCTTGCAGAGGCTGTCGCAAGGCTTGGCAAAGCTATAGAGAAGACTTTGCCAAAGTTCCAAAGACTGGATTTTTTTTTTGGTGAATGAGTGGGTGAGATGAGCTCACCCCTGTCAGCCCTTATGAGGAGGACTCAAAAGCAAGATTTGTGAACCACTTGCTGATCAGAGGCATTTTCCCTGGTTGTCTCTGAAGGGGAAATTGGAAGAGCAAGATCCAGAGACCCAGGCCCACAGAGCTGCTGTCACTGATGCCAGAATTTGTAAATGAAGTAGTGGATGACTCAGAAGTCTCAAAGGACTCCCAGCTGTAGATGTTGACATTAAGATATGGGTCATCTCCCATTCTAGAACAAAGTTATGGGCTTCATACAGCCTACAAATGTTACATGACTCAGGAATTATCTTGGGGCACATCTGGCATTGAGGGAAAATTATAGGGAAAATGTTTAACCGTCTCTCTGGTTTTCTACCAAGCTGAGATAAGCAGTACAGAATGACCAGTGTGCATGGACTCAGGCCTGCTAAAATGAATAGAAAAATGCTCAAAAGTTTTAGGGTTTTTTTTTTTTTCCCCTTCACAAATTGCATTTTTTGGTAATTTCTTCATTTTTTCAGATTACTGATTTCTGCCACTTGGGGAATTTCTATTTTTTAAGAAAATTGAGAAATATTTGAAGCACTGTTATCCAAGCAGTTTCTCCCCAGAGGTGCAGGAGATGATGGCAAGCGCCTTATGGTGATGTGAACAGGGCCCGCAGCACTTACAGCATTCTTTACAGTGGACCCTCTGATGCTAAGTTTTTGAGGGTGCTTAGTTTGAGGCCCCCAATTAAGAAATAAATTGAAACACATTTTTGTGAGTTGAATTTTTAATGATCTGGCTATATTCCATCATGCTCAGCAGATTCCCAGGGTATCCCATCTTCTCTTAGGGCTGTTATGGTCACTTTCTTTAGCACAATTTCAAGACCAAGAGGGGGTCTTACCCTCCCACCAAAGAAAACACCATACCTATTCCACACAGTTTAACTCTCTTGGGCAAACCAGGGCAGTTTTAATTTTTTTACTCTACCAGGATATATGGAACCATGAAGCTGTGAAAGAATTGTTGTTTAAGAGAATCAACCAGAAAAAAATACTAAATATTTAGGAAAGTAGGAACAGTGATGTCCCACAGCACACACACTAACAAGGAGACAGACTGCATGTGTCTAAACACAATTGACAGCTATAAATGCAGCAAAGATGTAAGTTTTGGTCCTGCCCCTGTTGCGATACAGTGGATAGGGAAAAATGAAACCAGAACTGCTGAGTAAATCTATCCAAATTGACAATGATAAGGAGTGCTACATCCTTGCTGGGATAAGGAGGCATCTCACTAGCTTTGCAGCAGGCACTTATCCCTCCATCTGCTGGCAACACCTGCCGGAAGGGAATTCCATTTAATCATCCCAGTCCTCCCAGAAAAAAGGCCTTCAGAGAGGCAGGGAAGCACTACAAACTCGGGTACCTGTGGCTAGTAACACTGTAACATTTTTCTGTAACATTTTTCAAGCCATCCTCCAGCCCTTCCTAGTCCAGCTCTGGAGAGGTTTGGGGGACTTGGGAACATCTTGCTCGCTTTCATGGGCCAGTGTCTCTCTACAGGAACACCTTGCCCTGCCATGCTGATGGAGGATGGCACTCATACAGAGCAGCAGCAGCAGCATATCCTCTTGGAGGTCCTCTTTGTACATGCTGTAGCGAGTACAGCACCTGAGTCATGGCAGCACGAATTCATGGTGACCATGCCACAGGGGAGCACGGCTGGCCTGCCACGCTGGCCGGGGCCGTGCTGGCCAGGACATGCCACTAGAGGGGGACACAGCCACACGTAATGGGACTTGGCCACGGCCACCTGTGGGGCAAACTCGGTGGCCCAGTGACCAGGTGGGCAGCATGCGCCATGACCAGCTCGCAGCTTGTGGAACTCCATCACCAGTGATGCTTCCAGCCAGCTCACACCCTACCACAGGAAGGAAACATTCACATCAAACTCTCTGACACTTCTGATGGTGAAGCCAGTGGCTGTGGTGTGTGATGCATTGACCTTCTTCTTTGCTCTTCCCACTCATCATTGGTCTGACTCTGGAGGTTAGTTGGCATTTTCCAGATCTGAAAATCCTGGAAACTCTGCATTGGGTCTGCTCAGTATGTGGAGTGGGCATAAAGTATGGTGGGATATGAACTGTGGGGAAGACCTAGAAATTGCTCAAATGAGAGGAAGAGTTTCTAGAGTTTTGTCTTTATTGTTCCTTTTACTATGGCATCCCTTTAAAAAAGTGTCACTAATATGGGGTAGCCAGGCTATATGCATGTCTGGTTTAATGACCTGCAGCCTCCTGCTTCTTTTTGCTTACAGACCTTTTCCTGAGGGCTCTTAGCTACAGTATCTTCTAATCATACAGCTGGTTTGATCCTGTGTGTACTCCTCTGTTGAGGCCTGAAGGTGGGGCAGGGTCTCAGAGGAATCTAATGGAGGATAGAACAGGATTCCTACTAAATTGTAATGGGATCAGTGCTTAATTCTTCAACCAGCTTTGGAAGCTACAACATTGAGGATCAAATTCCTCTAAAAAGAGAACAAAAATGATAACTAATTATGCTCATTATCTTCTGTTTGTTTGGAAATGAGGGAATTTTTTGCATGTCTGCAAGGTCCATCTGCTGCGTGAAGGCAGAGGTGTGATCCCAGCTATAGACATGCAGTGGGGAGAAGAATAGGATGTTCAGAGAAGAATGTAGACTGGAACCATGGAACTTGATGCATAGGATGTCTTGCAGATGCTTGTTAGATAGATGAAGGTCTGAGAATGGGGCGCGAAGTGTCCCTTTTGGCTGCTTGTGAATGTCAGTGGGGCATCCGTGGCTTTGGTGTTGTCCTGTAGAACACCGACAGCGTGGACAAGGCAGGTCTGGGTGGGTGTGGGACTTGAAGAGCACATGTTTGTGTGTGTGTTTGGATGGGATCCACTGATTCCACGGCATGTCTCTGGTGGAGGAGTTTCATGTAGCATATCTAAACCTGTGCACCATTTATCTCATCCTCAGCAAACCACACAAAGGGCCTAAAAAAGCTGACTGATATCAAATTGAATGATTCTATCACATGTGAAGGGCAATGGTGGGGAATCCTGGCATCTGTAGGTGCATGTAAACATGCAAAAATACAGCAAATATGTCTAGGGAAGGCTGAAGTCTTGGCATCAACACTTCCCCTGGTTATGTTTCCCTCTGGTCAAACCCAAAGCTGTTGCAAAAAGCAATGGTCTGTGAAGTTTGACTGACAGATCATGATTTTGTCAAAAAACGTGGGAACACCTGTATATTCCTTAGAGGTTTTTCAATCAGCCACACAAATTTTGTTGTGCATCTGAAAGGAAAAACAACTTAAAATTCAAACTAGAGTAC